CTCTCTCTCTCTCTCTCTCTCTCTCTCTCTCTCTCTCTCTCTCTCTCTCTCTCTCTCTCTCTCTCTCTCTCTCTCTCTCTCTCTCTCTCTCTCTCTCTCTCTCTCCCCCTCCCTCCCTCTCTGTTTCCGTATCGTCGACTGACTCCCGTTCCTCCGACGATTTCGTGGTCATCCTTGCTTTCGCGTATCCTGTGATGCGAGGCACCTACTCATCGGAAGTAGATGGAAGTAAAAATGACAAAAGGCGGAAACACAGAAGTGGCGAAGAAGCCGAGTAAATGAATACGGTCGAGCGAAATTTTATCGCAATCGTAAACCAAGATTGGCACTCGGAGGGCTGGAGAGGGCAACTAATTGCCACGGGAATTAAAGCGCGTATCGTGAGTCACCGCGACGGACGTTGGGCGTGTCGGTCATGCGGCTTTACGGCGATTCCGCATAATAATTTGCGACGAACAAATTATATATTCCCGACGTGGAAGTGATTTATCGAAATCACTCGGTCGTGTCTTTTAGAGGGAGGTCACCGGACACGGCGACACTGGGGCAGGCGACTCTAATCGCCTTGGAACTCTAATGCGGCTGTATAACCGTCCACTCATAAAAATTAATGTTTTGTATATATAAGGGCTCGGCATTGATTTCGATTCCGCGAAGTTCGCGCGCGCAATTAGCGTTTGACGGTTTTCCACCGTTCGTACCGCTGGTACCAAGACCGTATCGGTCCGAGCGGTTAACGATCACCGGTCATCGCGCTCCGCTGGGATCAAGGTTCGCGGCAGCCCGCAGCGAAATCGTTCATTAATTAACGAACCACGACCTTGCTGTTTGGTGGGATGGACGGAAGCCACGGAAAGTCTTCGCCTTAACGACGTCCCGAGATATCGGTTTATTGCGCGCGTAATCATAAGAGATACACACAGACCGAGAGGAACGGACGAAGCGCGGCGAAGGGCCAATCGGGAGAAAGAGAGAGAGAGAAAGAGACGGGAGGGGAAAAAAGGAAGAAAGAGTAGTATCTTGGGTTGTGCCGATGGGTTATGCATACGGAATCGTTTAATCGGCCATAGTGCGTCGTTCGTGAAGCGCATCGACTGACTTTATAATTTTACGACGTTCCTAGACCGCGTCTCCGCACCGCTCCTTCCTCCCTCACTACCCTCGAGCGTCGAGCTTTTTTCATTACGAGCCGACTTGCCGCTTCCCCCTCGTATGAATGTGTATATACGTGTGCGCGTCTTCACTTTCCGTTTTACGACGTTATACTACCAGCGTAATATCCCCTTGGGTGATCCTAATCGGATGTGTAATAAAGGTCGCGGTAATTAACGCCAGGATGAAATTAGTCGGTTGGTAGCCGAGATCACGAAGCGAGACTCGCATGCGGCCTACAGGGAAGGAGAGAGCGAGGAGATCAGAGAGATTGAAAACGAGATCCGATAGAGAGAGAGAGAGAGAG